GCTTGCTTTAAATTAAAAAAGTTTTTTTCAAGTTTGTTAAGTAACTTTATAAGTTCTTGATCATCGTAACAAATTGTAGTGCAAGGTTGTGTAAAATATGAATGTGTACAGTCGGGATGAGACAGCACAGTTGGATACACAAATACCTCGCTTGTGTTTGTATCAACACAAGTATTCTGAGACTGTTGTTTAACATTAGCATTTATAATATTTTTTGAAGATTCAAGAAGATTAAAATCTACTTTTTTATCTATATCATCTGTTCGGATAAAATTATAAACAACTGCACCACCAAATGATGGTGCATTTGAACCCGAACAAACAATATTATATTTAGATTTACAACTTAAATCTAAAGGTTCTGTAGAATCAGAATTTGTTGAATTATTCTTGTAAAAATTCATTGAGCCATTGTGATTATCAACCATTGTACTTATGGTATTATCATACATGCCAACGTGTTCTATAGCTTTGTTTTGTTCCAATTTTTCATTAGTAGCATCATCAAAATTTTGTAACTCTTTTATTGCTAACTTTTCACTTTCCGGATCTAATCTACCTTTATCTAGGTCAACAGCCATTATAATTTTATTCTCGATTTTTAACTTTTTATTTACTCTTTTTTGAATCTTTTCATCATTATCTTTACGCTTTTTATCCTCCGATGGGGACTTCATTGAATCATTAAGAATATTTCCTTCATGTATATTAAGATAAGATGATATTATTTTTTTAAAAAACAAAAGAAAACATGTGCATTTCATTTTATGGGGCTATGTAAAAAAGTTAATAAAATCCATAATAGATTAAAATTGCTGATTTACTTAAATAAAAAGATACATTTTTTAATTTAGTTTTAATTTTTCTTGTATTTATTAAATTTTTTTCTAATTTTTAAAAATCGGGTTTATTTTTAAAAATGTTATTTGATGATTATTACACAAGTGTTTATCATTTATACGTAAATATAAAAAGAATTTTTTTGAAAATAAATAATTGATGTATTTTTTAGTTTTTATATGTATACGACGTGTTTAATGTTAGGTATATTAGTCAAAGTATTGTTTGTATAAATTATTAAATGTCACAATGATGTAATGGGTCTTTCAAAATTTTGTTTTTCTGCTTTAACATAGAAGAAAAAACTTTTTTTAAACAAAACCAAATTTAAATCTTTAATTAAAAAGCGAAATATTTAAAAATTGACAAAACAATGACTCCATTTTGTTTAATATTACTAAAAATTTAATTTTTAAATAAAGTCGAAAAATTATAATGTAAAAATTGTTTTCAATAAAAAAAAGTATTTTTTTAACAAAATATTAATTGCGTTGAAAAATAACACTTAAAAAACTAAAAATGTATTTAAATCTGAAATAATTCTTGACGCAAGATTTTCGGGGTTGCAAAAGTTTAATGTAATGTTGTTACAATATTTATATTAAATTAAATGTTAATCGTTTTGATACCCTTGATATGGATTAAAAATTAAATATAAAATCTCATCTCCAAATAGGGGACATGATCAAGTCGAATATGACGGTAGTAAATCATTTTCGCGTATATTCTATTATTAAACAACACCTCGACAGAGAATCTGTCACCTAAGAATTACTTTTTTCTTTAGTGCAGTTAATATTTTGAATTTGCAAGAACTTATCGGAATGGGATGAGAATTTTTTTACAGACATTAATACATCAAAACAAATCGATAGAATGCACACAGACAAACTAAAATCTTTAACACGCAATTTTTAATAATGTATAAATCCAAGTTTAGCATTCAGAAATGTTTGTAATCAAAGATAATTTAAAAAACAATTAGTTAGTGTTATTATGTGTTAGCTGGAATATGAAAAAAAACAAAAACTTAATTATTTAACAACTTGTGTTACAATTTAGCATGCAAAAAAGATATGGGCTTAAGGCAATCAAATTCTTTGGTATTAGGATTACAGAAAAGTCTTTGATCTGTATATACATGGTTCAAAAATATGATATGTTTGTTTATGTTGGCCTGTATTTCAGAATTTTTGATACACATTAAAATAAAATTTTTTGTTAAACCATTGAGATAATAAAAACTTTTAAGATAAACTAGAGAAATAAGATGAGCCAGTAGAACACAATATCAACACAAAACCAAATTTAATTAAATGTACAATTTTTAGCGAAACCACTATTAAATCTATTTAATAGCTTAGTTAATAATTTATATTCAACTCGAGACGCAATAAATCTTAATATAACAAACAATTCTGCAGCTAAAAAAATTTTGTTAAATGCTTGACTTGTTTTTTTTATTGTGTAAGTATGAACATCATACCTTCTAGATATAATTTCTTTTGAATAAATGACTGTTTTATGACGAAAAAAGTAGATTTTTAAATTAACGTAACTTTTTCAACGATCTATAAAACAAAAAAATGTAAATTTGTTGTTTTAACATCTTATCAATTAATTTAATTTGTTCTCTTTTCAAAGGTGAATCAAGAGTAATTCCAAGTCATATGAAAAACATAACCAAACATCAAAACACAAACCAGTATTATACTTTCTTTTTTTTAATTTATTCTCATCACTCTCAACAATATTATCTTAATAACTTAATTTAAGGGTCTGACAAAAAAAAACTTAAAATTAATTTTTTATCTATAACTCTTGATATTTCTATATTCTAACTTAAGAT